TCGGATAATTCAGTGAGATTGTGATAGCCGTAACGACTTATCTGAACATATCATGAATGTGCTTTTAGACGAATAACTCAATTTATTGTAACATCCGTGGGTGTTCAGTTACTTAATGTAATGAAAATGGATAGGAAATATCGAAACCAAAATGAGCAATTGCTCACGAGCAGATTTTGAGAGCTCGGTTGACCATTGTGAATGAATGGAAGAACAAGGCTAAACATTACCGAAAGGCTTGGAAAACTACTGGAAACTACGATGAAACGACGAAACAAACCTGATATCCAAGTGCCCAATAAGCTGGTAGCGCAGGATTTCCAACGAGCGCGAGATATTGTCGAATGACATCTTTCGGCGACGGTCCTGGGAAGAAATACATATCGAGCATTCCACCAATAGTGCGATAAATCAGATGAGGTGATGGACCCAATGTTATTTCCTTAAAAACATTGAAGGTTCAAAACATAATCGACCACTGACCCTTCATTCATTTAGGTATGTTCAGTGCCAGTGTGGTAATGCAATCTTTTCCTGAATGCCCCGTGTCTTTTCATATCGATAAAAGTAATTCAATTATCACTCTCTACTCATATTATATTCCCCCAATGAATAACTAGAATTTGCCCGCAGTGAATCAGATTGGACCTACCAAAAGATTTCTTCAAACCTGTGGATTGCTGTTCAATATGAGTACACCGTGCGCTTTGTGGTCCGCTTCAATGGCGATGTAGAACGGGTAAACCCCATAAAGATTCCTATGGTTGAATTTTTCCAAATACGGATATTGCGAGTTTGGTGGCTGATCCCGAGCCAACATTGCCCATGTCGAATAACTAGCTAAGTTATGCTGCAAAATAACGTTGCTATCAAAACATAACGTGACAACCTTACCTTCGTTCACGATAATGATACAACGGTACGAGCTGCAGTGCTGGCGAGATAAATCGGTTTTGGTAAGCTCATGATCAGTGTAAGTTTTCGGATGCTTTACGAGCATACGTTTGTAGCTTCCAAGTGGGATTAAATCAACCCGTGAATTGTCTGAGTTCATATTTCTTTTAAAACAACTGAAAATTACCCTCAATTTGTGCTGAATGTTTTCACCAATACCATAAATCTGTGACGATCCCAAATACGCAGCTATTTGGACATATTGATCACCAAACATCAAACCTCCTGTAAATTGTTCATATCAAGCGCATTGCTATGGATCTGTTCAGTTCTGTTTCGCATATTCTGCATCGTGCTCCACAATGCCGACAATACGAACACCAGAGGTATGTATCTCATAAGTTTAAACGGTTGAAACTCTTTTCATCCCTTGTTCATTTAAACAAGCTTCAGATCAAGCAGTGATTCTG